GCAACCACGAGTTACCTCTGTACAGCAACGCACAGACCAGTGCAATACCACCTAGAAGAATGTTTGACAGGAAAACAATTTGAACCTGGTCGAGGGCCGCAGATGAAAATCACCCACCTTCAGCTTGGTAGCATGACTTCCTTTCTACTAGGCCAACGTAGCTCTCTCTCTGTCGTTGTCGTTGTTATTGTTGTTTGGTGCCGTCGAGTCGTAGTGACCCTATGAATGAACATCCTGAGCACTGTTCGTATGTAGAGTTTCCGAGCTGAAACCAATCCATAGCTGACCCCGCAGCCCATCTTCAGAGGCTGTAAAAGGCACAGGAGGAGAGCGCTCATCTTTCTCCTGTGGAGTAGTGGTGGATTTGAACTGTGTGTCTTTGGGTTGACAGCATGACTCCTTACTACTAAGCTACCAGAGCTCCCGAACAACAAGCTTTTTGCAAAGAGCTATTACTAGGTTAAAACGAGAAAGCTTCATTAATTCCTATGCATCCATGCTAAAATAGCCCACCCAAGATTTTGTTGAAAGAACTCCAATACAGCTAGACTGGAAACGACTATCCGCAGGCTCTCATTGTACCAATTGAAATGGCAACTGGTATATTCAAGTAAACAGACTCATGTTCAGCATTGGAAAAGGAACCAAGAACCAGAAAGGTGCACGAGTCATGTTCCATCTCCTCAAGATGCGCAAAACCCAAGTGAGACAGACATGCAGAAACAGAATCTAAAACAGGTGGATGGCGTTAAGTGTCGACTAGAAACTGAAGACACAGTTAACAAGCTCTGGGAGTTCACGCTGCTGGAAACCAGGGAGTTTCTTATTGTAGATGGCATTTGAGCTGGTATTTAAAGGTAACAAGTATTTCCACTGGAAGAGAACAGTAAGGAAGTCTAGGGAAAAGTTGGAAGAAATGCACATTTAAGAAAACAAAGGAAAACCTGATCGTTAATGAATGAGTGAAAGGAGAGTTCAGGGACTGTCTAGCGGAATAGCAGATGAAGGACCCGGTGCACACAGGACTGAAGAGAGCTGAAAGTCAGGAAGAAATGGTACTTAATGCTTTCAGCAAATATTTATTAAATTCCTGATAGGACGCAGGATAGAACAAGTTTCAGAGCTGTTGTTCAGAGTCACTCTGAGTTAAAGTCGACTTGCTGGCACCTAACAACAGAACAAATGTTTACTTACTGTTAATTTCATTTCAACTCGTGGCGATCCCAGCTAAGTCTTGGGAAGACTATGTTCCATAAGCCTTTCAATATCTGATTTTTGAAAAGTAGATCACCAGGCCTTTCCTTTGAGGTGCTTCTAGTTGGACTCAAAGGTTTAACCTTTCCATTAGCAGGTGAGCTTGTTAATCACTTGTCCGACTCTGGGACTCTGGGGCAAATAAAACTTCAAAAGACCTGTTGGCAACTCATAATGAACTTATGATTCATGCCATTTTTTCTCAATCACTTGCTATGCATCTGAAAGCTGGACAATGAGTAAGAATGACAGAAGAATCGATGCTTTTGCGTTGTGATGTTGGAGAAGAGTAGAGAATATCCCATGGACAGCCAAAAGGACAGATATATCTTGGAAAAGGTACAGCCAGAGTGCTTCTTAGAGGCAAGGATGGCAAAGCTTGCTTTTACATATTTTAGGCGTGTTGCTAGAAGGGGTACAACTTGAAAAAAGACATCATGTTAGGAAAGGTGGAGGGAAGGTCAACAAAAAAGAGGAAGACCCTCAATGAGATGGATAGACATGGGGAGTACAGTAAGGGACTTAATTTATCAGAAATTATGAGGATGGCACTGGATGGGACAGGGTTTGTATCTGTTGTTCATAGGGTCCTCAACAGCATGTAACAACAACAACAACAACAAACTTTGTGGATGTAGACTTCTATGTCTTTCTCCCATGGAAATGCAAGTAGATTCAAACCACCAACCTTTCAGCTTGGAACCAAGGGCTTTAGCTACTGTGCTGCCAGAGCTCCGTTGGGCAAGCATGGTATATATAAAAAAGTATACTTACAAACTGGAGCATATGTGTGTAAATGCTGGGTAACAATGTTAGTATGAGCTGCAATTGAAAAAGTTGGAAAGCCACTAATCTAGACCAAGCCCCACTCCCACTTTCCTTGGAAATATTTCCTCTTCCAGTGTTTAGGGTTATGGTATTGAAGGTGTTGTTATATGTCATGTCGAAACCAACTCACAGCCCATTTTCAGAGGCTGTAAATTATGTGGGTCAGTTACGAGTTGGTTCTAACTCAAGTACTGAAGGAGCAGAAAAGATATGGGGGCCAGAGGCATCTTTCTTTGCTTTGACAATGAACATGAATCCAACGATGTAAAACAATGGGAACTAGTATCTTGTTCTGAAGTCTCTGGTGATTTTTACAGACAGAAATCCTGATACGAATTTTGCATTTGTGTATGTATTTCCTTAGGTAACTTGGAGAACGCTCACAGTATCCATGTCTGGTCCCTCTGCAGAACAGATCAGAAATTGAGAGAGGGTACATAGCTTTACCTTCTTTCCAATAAGTCTTTGCCAAATAATGCAGGAGAAAAATAGAATTTCAAAATCTAAATAGTGGCTGTGCATAGATTTCATTTTTCCCACTAGATGGCAGAAAAAGCACTTATAATGGAAATTACGCTGTCATCTGTTTAATCAGGCTGCAAGACTTTTTTTGAGTCAAAGGAAGTATATTTCATTTCAGTTTGAACAGTGGAATATGATTATAAGAAAACCGATTATTTTTATCTCCGCTTTAATCACATTAGGTTTTAAGTTAGAGAGAAAACTTTAAATTAGCTTGTGTTTATGTATGTACATAGATATCCACATAACTCAATTAAGAGATAGATGATGGAATTTTGTTGATTTTAGAGTGCTGCCGTGCTCTCTCTTAACATAGATTTAAAAATAACATGTAGTGTTTAAATATACTTTCAACTGAATACAAAGGCATTCTTTTTTATGCTACACTATTGATAAAACTAGGGATACAATGTGCAGCCTCAAACTCACAGCCTTTAAGTCATGGCGACCTTCTGTCAGGTGCCTGATGCTGTAAATCTTACCCGACGAGGTGGCCTCCTCCTTCTGCCACTTGTTGGATTGAAACTGATGACCGTTTAGCTGTTGTTATGTAGCATCAAGTTGGAATCAACCCACAGCTGACCCTCCAGGGGGTTTTCAGAAGCAGCAACTTGCACCAGAGGAGACTGCCCATCTTTTTCCCACGGAGCAACTGGTAGATTTGAACAGTGTATCTTTGTGTTGGTAGTACAGTTCCTTACCACTAAGTCAGGAGTTCTGTATACCATGTGCTATGCCACCAGGCCCATTGTACTATGTGCGGGTTTACCTAATTAAAACATATTACAAGTAATGTTAATAATATAAGTAAAAAGATCAACATTTATGGATATCCATGCTTATTAAAGGGAGCACCGGTGACCTAGAGGCAAGAAGTTGTGTTACAGTCTCAAAGGCATGTGGTTCGAGCCACCACCTCCTCTGTGGGAGAATGGGCAATCTCCTCCCATGTGATTAACTGCCTCAGAAAACCCACTGGAGGATCAGGAATGGTTTGGTTCTGACTCTGTGATCCACCACCACCACCACCACCACAACTTGCTTATAAATCTCAAACTGTGCCTTTTTAATAAAGGGGGAAAATCTGTGTACCAAGTAAATAGAATACACATGGCCTCTATTTTTTTTCTCACCACACTAACTCCCTCCTTTTGTGGGTCATGATGTCATTTAGAAGCCAGATTTCTTTAGAGACATTTTTAATCAGAACTTTGTTCAGAAGTTGAGGTTTTCATAGATGGTTATACTCTTGCTCTGGTTCATTTATCATGAAGGGGGAAATGATTTCTGTACTTACAAAGAGTAATGGTTAATAACAAGTGAGTTATGTAGTTAGAAACATGGAATTTGCTAATATATCAACTAATAGAATCTAGTTCAAAGTCACTAAATATTTTCTCTATTTTAGTGATTATTTTTTGGTTTATCTTGCAACTAGGATTCTGGTGTTACAGTGGCTAAGTGCTTGACTACCACTGAAAGCTCAAAGGCCCATCTCACTAGCTGCTCCCAGGATAAAAATGTGACAATCTACTAAGATTACTGCCTTGGAAGCTCTACAAGGTCACCAGCAGTATCACTAGGAGTCAGAATCAACTCCACAGCAAGAGGTGTTTAGAATTTACTATCAAAAAGTTGGAGAGAGACCCATCAGAAACCCAACTCAACATATTGCCATGGAGTCAAAACTGACTCCTAGTTGACCCACCAGTGGCTTTTCAGATGCTGTGAATTGCATAGGAAGAGATGGCCTATCTTTCCCCCATAGAGCAGCTTGTGAGTTTGAACCATCTGCCTTTGAGTTGACAGTGCAATTGCTTACTGACTAGACCACCAGAACTCCCTATCAGAAAAGGAGGAGGGAGGAAAAAAACAAAAAACAACCACTAATAAAACCAACCACAATAAAAATGGAGAAGTGAAGAAAAGGAGTAAAATCCAATGTTTGTGCAGTCCAGGAACATTTATTTGGCTCTTGCTGTGGACGGATGAGACATGAGCCTTAGTAACATGGACACAGATGCTTTTTCTGCCAACAGGAATACAACCAGGAAGAAGTGAAAATAAAAATGGATGCGGGTGTACAATGGCTGCCGTCGTGTCATTGAGTTACATTTTATCTTTCCTTCCCCAACCTTTGCTTCCTGGCTCCTCCCCAACAAACAAAACAAAAACGCTGGAGCTTGCTGATACTGCCACCTATTCTTAGGAAACGAGGTAGGGACTTCTGGCAGCGTGAGGGGACATCTTGCCACGAAGACCTCCAGGTGGTTGCCTGTCTGCCAAGTTCTGCATACCTTTAAAACAAACAAAGAAGAGCTGGAACCTCTGTAAGGTGGAAACCTGTCAGACAAGGAAAAGGCAAACATTTTCAGTTAGACTGTCCCCTGTTAAAGGCAGAAAGAGCTTTTGAGACCCGGAAAAACAAAGTAGTGGAATTGGGGCTCTCACAGGTTTTATTGCACATAGTCCCAGAGTTTGTAGCTCAGAAAAGCAGTGTTTATGGCCAAGATGCCTGACCTTGTTTTAAGTCAAGGTGAGTCAATAACTTCCTGAGAATAAGCTGCTCATATGGTGCAGCAGTAAATTAGTTTGAGGGAGAATGTAATTTCAGGGTAAATGATCTCCCCTGGTATACAGAGTGGAAGACTATTTTTATATTTCTTTGTAAAGGCAACTGTTAGTTAAAAACAAATAAAATGCATTTAAAAAGAAAAGAGAATGTATGAGGGACATTTTATCGAGAAACATATAGCTGTGTGAGAGACTCCTTTGTAGAGCTAAATTTTTTTTTTTAAACTTCATTTACTACTTTGGGTCCTGGGGCCTGCTAATTGTGCAGTTCTAGATGGTCCCTTTACATCTCTGGGACCCAGTTTCTTAAATTACATATCATGAGGGAGTTAGGCTTCTAGCTTGAACATTCTCAGCAAGAAAAGAAGAAAAGATTCTTAGCAGTTTGCTGTTGAAACAAACTGAAAAGATTTCTGATTCAAGGATCCTGTGACCTCCTGCCACTCAATTCTAAGTGGTCAGCTACCTCGTTCTCTCAAATAGAAGAAACAGGACTCTGAGTTTTCTGTCTAAACACTTTCTTGAGTTCCTCCCTTCCCAACGGTGCCATAGCAAGTATCTTTCAAAATCTTTAATATGAGCCGTGGAATAATAACTTCTTAAGGGTGTGTGAATGTTTCTCTTTTGCTGACCTAGCCTTGAGGAGACTCTGCCCCCAAATCATTGAGTGGATTGTTTTTTTTTGCTTCAACCCTGGGAAGAATGTGTGCAGGACCTTCCAAGGGGTCTACACGCAGCACGTCCTGAGTGGGTTCACTGCAGTGATGGCGGTGACGAATCCCATGGCCATTTCCCAGGCAACACCATATCCACACAGGAGCTGCATTGCCTTCAGAGTTGCAGATGCTGTGATTATTCTTTGGAGAGGAATTCTAAGGAGGATATAGCTGCTTTTGATGATGGCTGTCAATTCCAAGAAAATTGTCACAAAATGCTGCTATAATGAAATGGAGAACTGCCCATTGCTGTGGGTTCCACTTCCCGTGAGCTCCCTGCCATCATCAGCTGGGATCTCTCCCTTTTTGCCTAAAGATGCATGAGATGGAACATTCTAGGAAGCCCATGACCTGGAGTTTCCATTTCGGGTTCTTTTTTGCATTTCATTGATTTCTGGATCAATTCTCATAGTCCCTCAAACTCTCAGAAAGTCTTCTAGGAATAAACCATCCCTTAATTATGAAATTTATTCGACTGTTGGGTGACCATTAGTTTTCTACGCATGAAGAAACATCAGAGGGGCTTAAAACACTCCCTGCCCTTGAGCTGGAGCCAGCTCATCGCAGACACTTCGCTGGGTGTCCAACGTTCAGGAAGGGATTGGTTGTCTTCCTCGGAGTGGCTAGTGGATTAATACCACCTGACAGTTACAGCCTTTGAGTGAGCAGTGTGACTTTCTGTGGACTGTATTGCCAGAACAGCATAGACTATTAGCTTTGAATTGATTTTCTGGAATGAAATTGCTAAATGTCTTATGGCTTAGTGGTAAGGAGTTGTGTTGCCAGCCCAAAGGCATGCAGTTTGAATCCATCAGCTGTTCAGTGGCAGAAAGATGGGCAATCTCCTCCCATGTGATTAAATGCCTGTGAAAACCCACTGGAGAGTCAGCTAAACAGACCCTAATGCCCTTGATACCAGCAGTCAAGAAATAAAATTAAAGTGAGTGGCATTGGGAAGGTCTGCCGTCAAGGACCTCTGCAAAGTGCTAAAAAACAATGATGTCAATTCAAAGTCTATAGTACATCTTAATCAAGCCTTGGTCTTTTCAATTCCGTGCTCTGCATCTGAAAGGTGCATGGTGAGTAAGGATGACAGAAAAAAAAAAATTGATGTCTTTGAGTTGTAGTGTTGGAGAAGAATACCGAACATCCCATGGACTTCCAAAAAGAATGTGTCTTAGAGAAATGCAACCAGAATATTTCTTAGAGGCAAGGATGGTAATATTTTATCTCCTATATTTTGGGCATGTTGTTAAAAGGGGTCAGTCCTTGGAAAGGGCCATTGTGCTTGGAAAGATGAAGGGTCAATAAAAAGAGGAAGAGATGTATTGACATAGTGAGTGTAACAACGGGTTTAAGTATATTAGAGATGATGAGGACTTCACAAGGGCAAGATTCAGATCCATTATTCAGAGGGTTGCTATGAGTTGTAGCCAACCTGACAACGCCTAAGAACAACCACATCTAATGCTGGCCCCAGTACTTAATATTCACCAAGTTCCTTTATTTTCTACAAATGTTGTCATTGTCAGCTGCTCTTAGGAATTCATGGTTACTTCTCCATACAACAAAACAAAGCAATGTGATTTTTCAATCACGAGCCATCTTCATGATGTTGGCATGCTTACTTAAAACCACTGTTATGACAAAAATAATAAAATAAAATTAAAAAATAAAAAACAAACAAACAAAAAAAACCAAACCACTGTTATGGTCACTGTGTATTTTGAATCCCTTCCAATTTAGAAGCTCACCGACAAGCATGGTACTGGAATATATTCTCTGATCCATAGGATTTTAATTGCCACAAAACAATATGTTTTTAACCATCTTGCAAACATTATTTCTTCTTTTAAGGTTTAAGAATCTCCTCTTTAGAGGGTGAAAAGTACAAGGAAAATTCAAGGTGATTACTAAGTAGCAAATAAATCTGATTAGTGTAGTTAAGGATAGAGGGAGTTAAAAGGAGTGGGTATAAAAATTATCCCAGCTCAAGAAAAAAATGAGGCTTTTGGTTTGCATTCTGTTGTTATGTGCCATTGAGTTGACTATGACTCATAGCAATGCTATGAACAACAGATCTGGATGCTGTCCTATCCACACAATCTCTGACACATGTGGGCCCATTGCTGCAGTCACTGTGTCACTCCAACTGGTTGAGGGTCTTGCATTTGCTGGCCCTCCACTTTTCCAAGCATAATGTCCCTCCTCAAGGAATAGCCTCTCCTAACATGCCCCAAGTATGTGAGATGAAGCTTCACAATCCTTGCCTCCAGGGAGCATTCTGAATGCTCTTTTCCCAAGACATATCTCTTTGTTCTTTTGGCAGTCTATGGGATAGTCAGTGCTCTTTGCCAACATTCAACTCAAAGGCATCAATTCTGTCATCCTCATTCATTTTCCACCTCTCAGAAGCATAGGACATGACTGAAAAGACCATGGTCTGAATCAGGGACACCTTAGTCTTCAAACTGACATTATTGTTCCTTGGTAATTTGGAGAAGTTTCTGACAGTGTACTTTTCCAATGTAACATGTCTCCTGATCTCCAGACTTCTGGTACCAAAAGTGTTGATTATGGAACTAAGGTGAAATCAATGACAATTTCAATCTTTTCTCCATCTATCATGATGAAACCTATAAGTACAATGTTGAGGATTTTTGTCTTCTTGATGTTGAGATGTAGTCTATATTGAAGACTGTAGTCTTTCGTCTTCAAATATTTCAAGTCCTCCCTACTTTCAGCATTCAAGGTTATGTCATCTGCATAACATAGGTTATCTATGAATCTTCCTCCTGTCCTTATGCCACGTTCTTCAATATATAGAGTCCAGCTTCTTGAATGATTTGCTCAGAGTACAGATTGAATAGGTATGGAGAAAGGATAGAATCCTAATGCATACCCTTCCTGATTTTAAATCATGCTGTATTTTTGCTCTGTTCAGACAATGACTAATTGGTCTAGGTGTAGACTTTCTATGAGCATTGTAGCCGTTGTTAAGTGCCATTGAGTCACTTGCGACTCACAGTGACCTTATGTACAACAGCTCTGAATCCTGCTCTATCCTGTGTCAGCCTCATCTTCTCTGACACACCTACACCTATTACCCCAGTCATTGAGTCAATCCATCTCATCCAGGGTCTTCCTCTCTTGCGCTGTCCCTCCACCCTTCCAAGCATTATGTCCCTCTCAAAGGACTGGTCCCTCCTTGCAACATACCCAAGAGCTTCAGAATCCTTGCCTCCAAGGAGCAGCCTGGTCTCAACCTCTCCAAGACAAACACATTTGTTCTCCTAACAGACCATGGTATAGTCAGTATTCTTCCCCAGCACCACAACTCAAAGGCATTGATTCTCTTTCTACCATCCCTAGTCAGCATGTCCAGCATTCTGACACACAGCAAGTAATTGTGAAGACCATGGCCTGAATCAGGCCCACCTTAGTCTCCAGACTGACATCATTGCTCTTTAGTACTCTTGAGAGGTCTTGGATAGCAGACTTTCCCAATGCAATTTGTCTTTTGATTTCCTGGCTGATGGTACCAACAGTGTTGACTGTGGAACCAAACAAACTGGAGCTGTTAACAATCGCGAAATCTTCACCATCTATAATGATACCCCCAATCCACCCAGAGACGAGAATCATTGTTTCCATGATTTTGAGCTTCATCCTTATTGAAGGCTGGAGTCCTTGACCTTCTGCAGCAAATGTCTCAGGTCTTCCTCAGTTTCAGCAAGCAAGGTTGTGTCATCTGTATAATGTGGATTTTTGATGAATCTTGCTCCAAGCCGGATTACATATTTCTCCTCATAGAGCCCAGCCTCCCTAATGATCTGCTCTGCATATAGACTGAAAGGGTCTGGAGATAGGATATACACCTATGGTGTATGGAGAAAGGTGTACATCTTTCCTGATTTTGAACTATGCAGTATTTCCTTACTCTGTTCTTCTTGACCAAGTACACATTTTGCATAAGCACAATCAAGTGTTCCAGATTCCCATTCTTCTCAGAGTAAGCCACAGTTTGTTGTGGTCCACCCAGTCAACTGCCTTTGCATAGTCAGTGAAACACAGATAGACATTCCTCTGGTAATCTCTACCATGAGTAAGCATACCCAGACATCTGAGACATCCTGAAATGAGGGAGATTGTTGAGTTTTCATCCCCTTTTGATTTGCATATTATGAAATAATTTAAGACTTTTCTTCCCCAGTGACAAAACCCAAATA